AGCAGTATGTCTCTATCTCATGGGCAAGCTAGAAGGCTCTGATTGGCTACTGTTGGATTATGAGAGCCTTGTCTTTGGCCAGGAATACTTCCCTTCCTATACCAGAGTAATGTCCAATGATCTTCAACATCTCCTGGCTCCATAGTTAATAAACTTCCAAATGAGGTAATTCCTCCTATCAGTGCATTTTATATCAGAAGAGTGAACAGTTAGGAAGCCTTCAGGATATTGCAAACATAAGCAGTTGAAGATAGCTTCAACATCAATAATACCTCTTATAACCCTGCCCTATACCATTCCAGACAAGTGGCTTTTTAGTCTCTTCTTGAAAGCTTCCAATGATGGAGTGTTTTATGAATGATTGTTGTGTTTTAAAGTTCCCTGCCTAGTCTGAGGAATGAGCAGGAGGCAGCACGACAGCTGTTTGGCTACCACATCTGATAGCGGGCTATATAAAGAGTGCTGTCAGATGTGATCAGCTGGCGCCTGTCAGCTGCTGTGTTAGCATGGGGTTTGACATTTACCCTTGTTAGCATGTTGATAAAAGGGTTACCCTGAATCTGCTGGTCTGTCTCAGTAATTCCCACTGAATGTAATATTGATGACAAAGGTGGGGTAGAGAAGGGAGACAGCCAGTTGAGAGATTCAGGAGCTGTTAGCTGAAGTCACTTGTTAGCTGAACTACTCAGAGCTGAAGTCACTCAGAGCTGTCCATTGCTAAAAGGGCAACGGCACTCTCCTTTGCTACATATCAGTTGGGAACTGATACATGGGAGTCTTATCTTGACAGATTTGAATGTTTTATTAAGGCAAACAATTTGTGAGACATCTCCGCTGAGAGGGAAAAAGTGTTCTTTTTGAGTTTTTGTGGCACTGAAGTGTTTGACACGGTGGCCGCACTTCTGTCTCCTCAGACAGTACATGAGGTAACCTGGGAAACCATTTTAACAATTCTGGGAGGCCATTATGCTCCCAATCCATCCAGAATAGCTAGAAGACATGCTTTTCATAGGTGTTACCAGGCTGAAGGTGAAAATATAAGCAGGTATGTGGCTGCTTTGAGGAAAGCAGCTCAACATTGTGGCTTCTGGGATTTAAAAGATATCATTTTGGACCAATTAGTGGGGTTAAAGACCTTTGACTTCAGCGTCATCTATAAGCTAAACCAGATCTCACTCTACAGCAAGCAACTGATGAGGCTCAGATGTATGAGCTGTCAAATCAATCGGCTGCTGAAATACAGAAATACTCTGTTGAGACTAGTACAGTTCAAGGGAACCAGTCTGTGCATATGGAACAGAGTGAAATTGAAGATAACATAGATTCTGACCAAGATATTATGGCATGAAAGTGGTCTGAAGAAACCAAACCTCACCAGGCAAAACCTTTTTATTTAGAGTGGGGGGGGGGGGAAAACCACCTTAGACAGGTTTGTAAATTTAGGAATACAGTTTGTCTTAGATGTCAAAAGAATGGGCACTTAGCTAAGATATGCAGGGCTCTCCTACCACCACTTCAGAATCCAAATTTTCAAAATATGAGTGAGAAACCAAATTTTGAAAATACCAGGGAGAAAACCTATTATGAAGATTGTTTCACTCTGAGGAGGATAGATAGAAACTTTACAACTGATTTTAGGAAAGCAAATAGACTAGGGGGAAAGAAAATTATTGTTGATATTAAAATTGAAAATAGTCCATGTAAAATGGAAATTGATACTGGATCCTCCCTATCTATTGTATCCTGAGTACTATTAAACATTTAATGATCTAAGTGCTGGTAATATCACACTACTAACTAGACTAGAGCATACAAAACATTTTCTAGACTAATACAGCTCATCAGTCTGGAACCTGCATTACATATCTGATATTAATACAGTTGAGGAAAGTCCAGAAATATTTCTCCACTCCTCTAATCATTGCAGAATACCTTATGCCACCAGACTTGAAATTCTAGACCTAGAAAACCTAGAACTACGCTGCCTTCGGTCCAATCTAAGTATAGCATATAAAATTATACATTGCAATGTCCTAGCTGTCAATGAATACTTCAGCTTCAACCATAACAATACAAGAGCACACAATAGATACAAACTCAAGGTAAACCACACCAAACTTGATTGCAGGAAATACGACTTCAGCAACAGAGTGGTCAATGTCTGAAATACTTTACCTGACTCTGTGGTTTCTTCCCGAAACCCCAAAAATTTTAACCTTAGACTGTCTACTATTGACCTCACCCCTTTCCTAAGAGGTCTGTAGGGGGAATGCATAAGTGCATCAATGTGCCTACCATCCCTGTCCTATCGTTTCTTTTTATTTTTCTTATATGTATCCATTTCATGTATTCATAATTATGTTTATACTTGTACCTGTTATCTTATAATCGCTTGACAAATAAATAAATAAATAAATGATGATTATGATGATGATGATCCTTTTCTACATTCTGCAGCCATGAAATTCAGTAGTCAGGGAATAACTGAGACATGCTGCAGAACTTAATAGATCCTAGAATTAGTGTGTTGTTGTTTTTCTTCCTTTTTTTCCAAATTGTCTGGATCTGTGCAACTCTTTGCTGTTTAGGTGTCATTTCACTTTCAGACAAATATCTAGTATCATTTTGAAGTTCTTTATATTTTAATAAACCTGCAAATTTCACATCATTTGAAAAAAAAAGAAAGGAAACAAATACAGAGAGAAATATGTCTCACCTGTGGAATTTTGTAGATATCCAAGATAGTTGCTACATAAAAAGAGACATCTGGATCCAGTCCTCCAATGATAGCCATCAGATTATTCTGGGTGCCACATTTAAAATTGGGACAAAGTTCTCTAATGAGGATAGGAGTTGTATCACTGCATCATAACTCCACTTTGCACTGAAATAACTGTCTCCAATGTGAAAGCCCAAAGTGTAATTGGATAATATCTGATGATTTTCATTAATTTCCTTTACTGCAAAGCTGTAATATGCTGATAATTCTTAGGCTCCATACTATAAAGAAAGTTTTATTTTAGTACATTATTTCAAAGAACTGTGAAAACCTACTGTGAAAACAAAAATTATTGGCCAAATGGCAAGATTATTAAACTCTTGAGTATTTATTAAAAGTAAAGAAAATATACTAAGAGAACTCCTAATAATATGAATGCTATAAATTGCTATAAAAATATCCACTAGCAATTTTGTAGTCTAATTTCATGGAAAAAATATTTGTCATATACAAAACCCAAGGACTACAATGCTTTTTCCCATGACAAATTTTTATCCCATGTAAAGAAATAAGAGATTCAATTTCTCTTTCACCAATCTATTTCTTTTTATTGACATTTTGCATTACTCAAAACATAAGGTTAAATTAAATTGATCAAAAATATCTTGGAATTTAGGAAACAAAAGTAGAATGCCAGTTTCATATGCAATTTCATCCAACATTGTTAGTGAAGGTTCTATATTAAAGCCTTTTTTATCATCAATTATGAATGCCTGAGTTGTAATGAAACCAACAATGATGTCTCCCAGTTGATGGTACATATGAAGTAGAGAATGTGGCTCCTTGTCCTTGCAGATCTTAGTGTCAGTCACACTCAATATTTGGAAAGGCAGTATTTGCAGCAGTGCAGGTAGCAATCCATACATACTAAAGTAAAGGACCAAGTGTCTTTATTTCTCTGGAAACAATGTCTCTGATTACCATATTTTGACTTCTCTCTTTTGTTACAAAAATAAATATCATGATGGATTTTCTAAAGCTGACATGGTTCCTAGAATCTGTAGGGATTTCAAGAAAAAAACACTGTCAACCAAGGCTGTAATTAAAGGAGAAGGAAGTCATGTTGGGAATACCCACTGAGATAAAGTTAAAAACCTGCCTTGTTTTATAGAATCAACATGTTTAGTGGACTGTAATTTTACAACTTGTACAATAAGAAACAATCCAGGCTCTAATTCTTTCAAACCTGAGCTATATCTAGAGTGAAATTGATTTTCTAGAGGGAACTGACAAGAATAGCATCACATAAATTTGATATAGCTATGGCTTTAATCACATTTCTACCATTTTATTAAATAAATCAGGGAGCAGAAGGCAGAGACATAGGCAGAATGAGATTGACCTATAGTCAAGTTTGGCACCCGCCTTCTGGAAAATTGTGCCCCTCAAGATCCACACCCACTCTCTTGGCTTTCCAGAAGGGCCTTAAAACCTTTTTTTGTTAATTACCCTGAGGTACCTATGGAGGTTTTTATACTAGAAGTGTGGAGTAAAAGACAATTCAACCTTCACCCTGTTGTATATTGCTTCCTTCCTTCCTTATATGGTTACATCTTTGCTAATTTTAATGTTAGCATTTGTTGTTTTAATGTTTTGTATTGTTATATTCATCTTGTTGTAATTTGCCTATAGTTGCTTGGGTGAGATGGAGGACATAAATTTAATAACAAATAAATACTTAAGAAACTGGATTATTTTCTCCAGATCCATGTTTTTGAAGCTCCATTTATTTCCTTTACTTTGAAGTCTCACCATTATTTTAGGCTGGTAGTCTCACATTTCTACTTTTCTAAATCTATTTATTCCTTTCACATTGTTTTAGGTTGGTAGGAATACATAAAATGCTGAGAGTTTGCTACAGGCACAAAATTATTGATATTGTGTATTGCTGTTCTTCTAGCATACATAGCTTCTTTAAGATTAAAAGTTGAAGAGGAAGAATGAATGAGAGATCAAAATCCAGGACCAGGAAGTCTTAAATTTACTTCTCTAATTCCAGAAAAAAAATCCCCAGAAGATTGGAATCCCATAAGCTTTATGTTCCCAGTGATGGTTTGAGGACCACATTAAAAATAAAACAGCCATCATACAAATGCATCACTCTTACCCAACTATGATCCACCGATACAACAAACATTTGATACATATTGTCACACCAACATCCCATAACATATGCTACACATTGAAATACAAATTATAATAAATTACTCATAAGCTTTATTCAATGCCATCTTCTAATTAGGTATTCTCTATTGTTCAGCTCAGGCCTCATTATAATTATGTAACATTTGGGGGAAAAGATGCAAACTAGAAGCCCAACACCAGATGTTAAGATAGAAAAGATCTCCACAGCAGTCATGTATTTTCCTTTGGTGCTTAGATAGGTTGGAACAAAAGTTACCCAAACACTGCAGAAGACCAACATGCTGAAACTGATGAATTTAGCTTCATTGAAACTGTCAGGTAATTTCCTGGCCAAAAATGCCACAATGAAACTCACAATGGATAGAAAGCCCATATAACTCAGAACACAATAAAACATAATCACTGACCCTTCATTGCATTCTAATACAATTTCTTCAGTTACCAAATGCAGATCAGCATCTGGGAAGGGTGGAGTAGTCCCCAACCAAAAGGTACAGATACTTGTTTGAACAAATGAACAAGAGAAAACAATGGAGATAGCCAGTCTTTTCCCTAACCATTCATTCATTCTGGACCCTGGCTGGATGACCATGAAAGCTAGAACAACTGTGATGGTTTTTGCAAGGACACAACAAATAGCTGCTGAAAACACAACACTAAACACAGTTTGTCGGAGAAGACAAGTCACCTTATTAGGCTGACCAATAAAGAGCAATGCAGAAAGGAAACAGAGCAGAAGGGAGATGAGAAGGCTATAGGTCAGGTCCCGGTTGTTGGCTTTAACAATGGGAGTGGTGTGGTGCTTTATAAATGTTCCCAGCACCAAAATTATGATTAATGAACAGAAAAGTGCTGCAATGCATAAGCAGATACCCAGTGGTTCCTTATAAGACAAAAAAGTTATAGTTTTTGGAATACAAAGATCATGTTTTTTGTTCGGATATGTTTTGTCTGTGCATTTATGACAGTCATTCATATCTGAAAAAATGGAAAAGAAATAACATAATTTAAATCTCATAGTCTGTTTTAAAATCAGCATTTATTTATTTATGTAGTTAGTTAGTTAGTTGTTATATCTGCACTTCTCACACACTCACCAGTTCAAAACAAAGAATCTCACCAAACAGTTCCTAGTGCCCAAGGAAAACATAGATTCCATTCATTACCAAAAATAGCAGAACTCAACCAGCCCCTGACCCAAATGCTTGGGAAAACAGCTAGATCTTCAGTGTCTCGTAAAAAAATTAACAGGATTTAGGCCACCTGAACCTCTGGAGGGGATGCTGTTCCATGGGACAGGGGCTACCATTAAGAAGGCATGACTCCAACAAAATTACAATAATAGAAAAGACCTGGAGCATGGTATATCTACTATATATAGTGGGAAAGGTAGAAACAATGAAGAGATGTTTTCCTACAAGTAGACTGGCCCTATGCCGTGGAGGGCTTTATATGTGATAACCAGCGCATTGAATTGCATTTGGAAACCTAAACCAGGCTACTAATAATTTCATCAGCAAAAGAGAAACAAATAATATTATACTAAAAATACATATTTTGGAAAAAAAATAGGAGAGTTTTTCAAAGGTAACCTGACTTACTTATACCCAATTGGTTGTCTGGTGCACATATCCTGTAGGAACAAAGTCTGATTCTCCCAGAATTCTCTTTCTTCAGACTGCATATCTAAACTTTTCTAGTCCCCAATAGCAGCTTTGTTAATGGGAGATGCAGAAATGCTTGTTTTGTCCCTGAATTATATTTCAGAATATTTATTCTTATGGAGATTTGCAGATTTCCTACCCACCCCACAATTTTGTCCAAAATCTTTCTTTGAGTATTTTTTTAACTATCATTGAACAGTTAGAAAATGACATACTGGATAGACTAAAAAAATACAGGAAATTTAAAATAATTGGGAAATCAAAAATAAGACAGCAAATCAAAAAAGAAAAAGAAAGTTATATTAACCTGTGAAATAGCATGAAAAAATAAAAGAGAATAATTTGGGTGTATAAGTTTTCACCTGGTTCATTGACAATCAGAACATCTTTAATTGTTTGACAGATTTTGTTGTCCCTGATATAATCTGACCATGTAGTCTGCATAAGTACAATATTTGGTCTGGAAGTTTTAGATAGTGGGATACACACATTAAATTTTCTGCTTGTTAAATCTTTCAAAAAAAAATGAAATAAAAATGTATTTAAATATGTATAGAAATTACAATGCAATAAACATGGTTTACACCCTCTTTTGCATGAGATCCATAAAAAATATTCAGAATAGATTGATTGATTGATTCATTCATTCATTCACTGATTTATTCTTTCATTCATTGAAACAATGGATGGAAACTAATCAAGGAGAGAAGCAACCTAGAACCAAGGACAAATTTCCTAACAATAAGAACAATTAACCAATTGAATGGCTTGCCTTCATAAGTTGTGAATGCTTCATCACTGGAGGCTTTAGAGACTGGACAGCCACTTGTTTGAAATGGTATAGAGCAGGGATGTCAAACTCAAGGCCCGCGGGCCAGATCCAGCCCATGGAATGATTAGATCTGGGCCGCAGGGCTGCCCTGGAAACAGTGAAGGACCATCTCATGGTGTCTCTGCCAGTGAAAACAGAGCTCCCTTTTTCTTGGCAAAGGGTTGAAGGAGGCCGTCATAGCCGGAAACAGAGCTTGGGAACCCATTTTTTTCTGGCAGAGTGCTTGGACTGCCTCTGGTGCCCCTAACACATGTGACATTGAACTGGCCATGCTAACTCTGATCCAAATGCCTGAATTACATCAAAATAAGTTGCATTGCTTCTTGCTTTCAAAAAAGAAAATTGCATTGCCTCTGTAGTGCAATCCTATTTGTCCAGGCAAATCTAAATAATTCTACACAGAATTAATTAATACATCTGCACAAAATATGCCTTACCCTTCTCATCAGCTATCTTCCCATATGGACATGGGATGCAATCATAACAGCAAAATGGTTCTCCTTCCTTTACTTTCTTGCTGGACCCTGGAGAACAGCTTTCACTGCATACAGAAAGAGGTTGTGTCTAATTTAAAAACACAATAAAAATATAGTATTAGCATATTTCAAATTGTAGAGATTCTACCATAAATCCGAGATACTAGGAGCTCATTGTTTTGTCACTTTATGCTGCCATTTATGTATATACAGTATGAGCATGGCTGTCTACCTGCAAATGTTTTATTAACTAACCAGATAACATCTTCAATGTGAGGATGCAGGCAACTAAACTCAAAGAGTATCAAGAACTCTGCAGTTCAACTCAGAGTTACAGATATTATTTTCCATTCAAAACCTTTTTATACTGGAGGAATTAGTACACTTGTATTTATACAAGATTATTAGCTTTATAATTTTTTCTCAAATTATTAGCTTCATAATTATCTGCAAAGAATTCACAATAATACATATGGTATTCTTTCTTCCATTTTTACCCAATCTAAACCTGTGAGATAGTTGGTCTAAAAATGATTGACTAAAGTAATATAGTAAGCTTCTGTGGCTGAGACCACACTTGAATTAAATCACCCTAGTTCTTCTCTGACACTATAACTTTTATTACACATTGATTGTCTGTATGTAATAATGTAGGATCATTTGTGAGGAAACTGTGGGAAGAATCAATAGTTAATGATGAAATGCTATTAATAATTACATTAGTCCCAAATATTATTATTATATTTATAACCCATAATTATTCTGTACAGCTCAAGATTATACACATAATGTTTCTGTTTCCTTTTTTTTTCCTCAACAACTTTATGAAGTTGATTGACTGTTTCAAAGTCGGGACTTCTGGTTTATTCCTCGCTGGAGTTGGAGCGGAATCCACGATCATGCACAGTTTCACCCGAGCTCACTTGCTGGAGGGTCCTGATCAGGACCAGAACCACCCTGGTGGGGTGGTGAAGAAGGGGGAAATTGCCTGGAGGGTTGAGAGGAGTTGCAACTCCCCTCCCTGACAGGAAAATCCCTCCCAAAGGCAAGCTGCAGCCATGGTCCTAAAATGGCCACCATGATGACAAAGAACACTCAGGAAACTAAGTTTTGTACTGGAGCAGAGAAGTAGCGAGCAGAGTGTGAACCAGGCAAAGGATATTGCTTTTGAGGTACCCCAGTATTAAAATAAAGGGCTATCTTGGAGGGAAGTGGAAGCGGCGACCAGAGAAAATGAGAAAGAACTTGGATCTTATAAAACTTGGATTAATTTGGAGGAGAAAATTTAAAGGAAAATACTTTAACACAACAAAGGTTTAGAAATTAAATTGGATAACTATTGAATTATGGGCACTTTAAGAGCATAATTAAATGCTGAAATTGACTGTGTAGAAAAGAAAAGAAATAATAGCTAATGATTGAAATTAGCGAACTTAATAAAAGTATTATATTCAATAAAGAAAGTAAAAGGTAAAAAGACTCAAGAGTGCCACCTGATGGCACAGGAAAACTTCAGTACATTTTAAAAAGTGTCTGGTCTTCTCAAGAGTTTGGATTTTGGAACTTAAAAAAAAATAAAAGAAACTTTATTATTGTTATAGAACCATCCGAACAAAGACTCAAGGGTATGGATTGTTGAAAATAAATTCAAAAGATATTGGCTGAAATAATATACTGGACTTTGGGATTGAATATATCTATTAAAGAAGAGGATTTTAACTATTAAGGACGAGGAAAGAAAAGGAAAAAAGGGAAGTTATAATGGAGAAACTATTTGTTGATATAAGATCGGACTTACAAGAGTCAAGATTGGATTTTCAAGATATAAGGGACATGATAAAAATCAAACTTGAAATGTGCAATTATGTACTACAGAAATTAGAAATGGTGACTCAGCATACACAAGAACAAAATAAATCAGAGGGGGAGGAGTTCTATAAAGAAGAAGCCAACATTGAAGGACAAAATGAACAACAATGATTTAAGCAGGGGGGAAAGGAATTAGAATTAAAAATTTGTGGTCTGATGGGATTGTTAGGAATAACATGGCTACCTAACTTAGTTTGGGTAAAATAATATATATAGACTATGATTGTGTGTATCACTTTAACTGTAAAACATGTATTTTGGGTGCGGTTGTAAAATCACCATAAGAGGGAGCAAGAGAGCTCACTGTTTGCTGGCTTTTACTGGATTGCTGACAATGATGGATTGATGGTGATAACTGCGTGTTTTCCCTGCTATTGCTGAACGAAGAAAAGAGGTTTGATTTTCTTCATATCTCTACTGCAAAAAGAGATATATTACTGGACTGATTATTTGTAAGTTTACTGACCTCTTTTTCGACACTGGACTTTGCTAATGGATAATCCCCGGACGGACTGAACTAGTGTATGAGATGTGGACTGTTTGACTATGCTATAACTCTTACTGGAATAAAAACTATTTAACTGGCACAGTGTATCTGTTTTACTGAGTGTAAGCTACAACAACGTTTATCTCACATATTCTGCCTGCCTGCCTGACTGCCATTGCACATTTTGCTAGGGTCTATATCCCTAACACTGGTTATGGGCCCAGGTGCACAGTCAGACTAACCAGGATATAACAGGCTTATATAAAGTGAGAGTTTGTGTAGTTACACTATACTGTAAACAGACAGCTGTGTTTTATTAATTATAGTTTAATATCTAGAAAAAGAAGGTAAAAAAGTGACTGCAACTTTAAAAGGTGAATTGTATGTGTTAAATTATAATTCATTAGAGGTAGCTAACACAGTTTATAATAATGTTAAACCTCATGATGAGTGCATACATTTGTTACATAGACGTTTAGGGCATATAAATTTTAAAATGCTTAAACAAACGGTAGAACTATCTGAAGGTATAAAACTGAAGCCTTGCAGTAAGTATTTGCACTGCAATACTTGCAGTCAAGAAAAAAGCAAGGTAATACCAGCAAATAGATTAAATGGATTTAAGACAAACGAACCTCTAGAGGTCGTATTTGCTGATATTATAGGTCCTAAAAAACCAAGTGTGGGAGGTGCTCATTACATACTAAGTATAATGGACCATTATTCCAGATATGGCTTCTGTTATCTAATGAAGAGTAAAACGGAAACATATCAGAATTTCTTTAATTGGCTTAAATTTGCAGAAAGAAAAACTAAAAGGAAATTAGTAACTCTTATAACTGATAATGGTACGGAATTTATAAACAATAAATTCCAAAACAGACTGAAGATGGCAGGTGTTGAACATAAAAAGTCTGCACCATATAGGCCACAACATAATCCTACATAGCTTTTTCTCTGGTAATATCACACTTGTAACCAGAGCGTACAAAACATTTGCTAGACCAATACTCGAATACAGTTCATCATTCTGGAACCCACATTACGTATCTGATATTAGCACAATTGAGAAAGTCCAGAAATATTTCACAAGAAGAGTTCTCCACTCCTATACTCGTTGTAGAATACCTTATGCCACCAGACTTGAAATTCTAGAACTAGAAAACCTTGAATTACGCCGTCTTCGGTCTGATTTAAGCATGGTATATAAAATCATACATTGCAATGTCCTACCTGTCAATGAATACTTCAGCTTCAACCATAACAACACAAGAGCACACAATAGATACAAACTCAAAGTTAACCGCACCAAACTTGATTGCAGGAAATACGACTTCAGCAATAGAGTGGTCAATGTCTGGAATACTCTACCCGACTCTGTAGTTTCTTCCCCAAACCCCAAAAACTTTAACCTTAGACTGTCTACTATTGACCTCACCCCTTTCCTAAGTGGTCTGTAGGGGGCGTGCATAAGCGCACCAACGTGCCTACCATCCCTGTCCTATTGTTTCTCTTATTCTTCTTTTATTTTTCTTATATGTACCCATTTCATGTATTCACAACTATGTATACACTTATACTTATTATCTTGTAAACAATTGGCAAATCAAATAAATAAAAATAAATAAAAATAAATAAATAAACATAATGCCTTTATAGAAAGACGAGGCCAAACAATACAAGCAATGGCTCGTACTATGCTGTCGGATTCAGGATTACCTGAAACTTTGTGGGGAGAAGCAATAATGTGTGGTAATCATATATTGAATAATGTTGTTAACTCAACAACAGTTGAATTACCATTCACATGGTGGCATGGTAGAAAACCTGACCTAAGCTACATGCACACATTTGGAGCACCAGCATGGGTGCATATCCCTACACAACTGAGACAAAAGGGGCAACATAGGGCTAAAAAGTTATTCTTTGTAGGTTATGAATCTAATCACAAATCATACAGATTCTGGGGAAAAGGTACATCTAGAGTTTACTGTAGTGCTAGTGCACAATTCCTGGAACATGTAGGATGGGAAAAACTGGAACAAGATTCAAGTAAGGAAGTAATCATAGAAACCTACAAAAGACCAAAAGAACAAATCAGTAATAAGAAGAGCGCAATTAAAGAGGAAGTACATGAAGAGCATATAGGACCAGAACAGGAAGAAATACCAGAACAGGAAGAAATAGATAACCAGGAACAGGTAGTACATGAAAGTCCACCTGTAAGTCCTGTAATACCTAGACGTTCTACACGTGTAACCAGACCACCTGACAGGTACCAAGCAAGTGTAGTTTGCCAAGTTAGTAAAGTTCCAACTACTGTTGAAGAACTTAGGATGTATCCTGCAAAGGAACAGGAAAATTGGCATAAGGCAATGGAGAAGGAACTAAATTCATTAAAGGAAATGAAAGTTTATGAAAATGCCAAATTACCTCCAGGTGAAAAGTCCATTGGCTGCAAATGGATATTTAAATTAAAAATTGGTAAAAATGGGACTGTTACCCATAAGGCTAGGTTGGTAGCTCAAGGATTTAATCAAACTGTATGTGATTATGATGAAATATTTGCACCAAATTTAAAGGCAACAACCTTGAGAGCAGCTTTAGTGTGGGCAGCTAAGAAAAACTATATCATAAATCATTTAGATGTAGAAACTGCCTATCTGCATGCACCATTGCAGCACACTATATATTTAAGGAAACTAGTAGGTATTAAGGATAATAAAACTAAT